ATCTCTAGATTAATTTTATTTACAAAAATTTTAAAAAATATATATTTTATTATCTTTTAAAATTTTGAATTGCTTTTTTATTTTTTGAACTGAATTAAAATGACACCCGTATTTAACATCGAATTCAACCATATTAAACTTTTTAATTTATTTTTAAAATGGTTAAATATATTTTTATTTTTTATTTTTTAGCAAAAATTGAAATTAATATACCAAATCGTTCCAAGTAATATAGAGTAAGTTTATGTTCTCCCAAAACACTTGTGCAACACATGACAATTCTTTCTTCTCAATTAGACATCAAAATGAACAAAACAACACAAGAAATTCTTTTTGATATTTTATCAAACAGTTGGTGTGCAAGGAATTTATATTTAAAAGTTGGAATTGAGTTTCATGAATCATATGAAGATAAACTCTGTACAATATATTATTATTTCATTCAAGCATTCACATCATGACATACTAGTCCTAATCTCTTAGCAACTAGTCTAAATTTATATATCAAAATGTTAATCCCTTAGTCAATTTAACGTACAATTTGCATTAAGTCCGATGCTAAGAATGACCAAGTTATTGAGTCTATCCCTATATCCCAAATCACTTAGGTGCTCTATCTATGTCTATGTTTAAAGTTAAAAAAGAACAAATTTCAATTTTCACTTCAAATTAATGAATAAAATACATATTTAATCATTTTTAAAATATAGTTAGTTCAAACTGTGTGAATGTAGATTTTTTTTTTCCTTTATTAGTACTACTTATACAAGAGAACATTTTGTAAACTCTATTAATTAGATTTGTTCTTTGACATAGTCCACATGGAATTAAGTTGCATAAAAGAGTTAATTATTTTAACCTTTTGAAAATGGGAAAGAAAATAGAGACTCAAAAGAAAATTAATTGTGACGCGAAAAGGCAATGATCCATATGTGGAACTATAGAAACAAATCCAAATGCAGAACCTATTAATACAGCCCATTCTGGGCCATCATTTGGAACAAAAGTCTGCTTCATTGTAGCACATTAATGGCCAACTTGTTAACAACATAATTTAATAATCTAGTGTTCCTTGTTCTTTCCGAGAAAGGGGCCACACTTAAAAAAAAATCATTATCTCGCCTGTGGTTTATTAAAAAGTGTTAAGCACGATCAAACCAAAACAACATCATTAAACAGTGGACCACGTGGTGATAATGACACCATATTGTCGTTTTATTATCATAATTCATACTGGTAGACCTTCTCAATTTGTAGGTTATTTACGTCGTTTGTCTGTTCACACGTGCAACAGTATTCTTATATTTAATTACAAAATAGTTATTTCAATAGGCTCGAGAAACTGAACTCATTATGCACTTCATTTAACACCATACATGTCTATTAATCTTAAAGCATTTCTTACTTAGAAAGTATGAATGTGGTTCAACATACGTTTAAACGCTTTATAATCAAATTTACTCACAAATAGGGCTTCTGAAAATTTTTCAAACTGCCGGGCCCTTACACAATAAAGAGACATAAAGGGTAAAAAGCCCACCACAAACTAAGCAGAGGCTATTGCTTCCTGCTTTCCACAATTACTAACTACAGCTCCAAAATACTTAGAATTACTTCAAAAACTTTATTCTGAAAATCTCAAACTTATTCCAGAATTTAATTTATATATACTGTAAATTCTATTCTAGAAATATTATTTTAAAATTTTTGTTCTAGAAATTCTGTTTCGATAGTTTTGCTGGTGTGCACGAAAACATATTGTGAGTGCAGAAGTAAAACTCCGAAGCAGAACAAAGAAAACATTATAGGTCCAAACAAAACTTTGAGTGTTTCTCCTTACATCACTCTACAATTCTTATTCTTATTGTATCTTTACATTTTTTTTTTTTAATTCCAAAACTATTACGTATATTTAGAAAAACCTTACATCTCATTATTTCTTTCAACAAATTTTAAAATTTGTTAAAGAAAAAATTTTCAACGAATTTTTGAAACTTTCAATGAATTTTAAAATTTGTTGAAATTTTTGAAAAATACGAATTTAAAATTTGGTGAAAAATATTTTTTTTTCAATAAGTTTTGAAATTTATTGAAAGATTTTTTGAATATTTCGAAATACGTTAAAGAAGGTTATTTTTAAAATGTAGAATTGTTTGTATAAATGTAAGGTGATGTAAGGAGATACACTCCCAAAGCTTCAATACAATATCCAATCAACTTGAAAGCCCATTTCTGTTAATGCCCCCAAATTGTGTGCATTAACATCCCCGTCTTTCCTGAAATTTGCTTTGACATTACGTGCCCAAGTTCAAGTTATAAATTAAAAGTAGTATGAGTACGCATGAACTAAAATAAGATTATTTTAAGTACAAGTTTTTAACTGTCCATTTTTAAAGGTAGATTTTTTTCCATCTAATTATCTATTAAGTTATGAAATGTATTATTAATTTTCTCTCTCTTTTGATATATAATTAAAATTTACGAGAAAACGGGAGACATTGGCTTACTTCATTTTCGGGTAACTTTTGGACTTAAACACTATGCGGGAACAAATAACAGCATCGATAATTATGATAAATTGGAGAGGAAAAAAAATGAGTTTAAAGACGAAGTCGCATGTTAATTAACCGAGTGCATTAGTTTGAAATCATTCCTTAAGAAACATTAGTTAATTAATCTGACAGAGACGTATGCAAGATTTGATGTCATGCAAGTTTCCAAGAATTGTTCCTTTTCTTCTCCTTTTGTCTTCTTTCTGAGCGACCTTTATCATTGTCTTTTATTGGATTAGTATTACTATGATATCACATACTCAGCGAAGTGCAAAACAAGCGATGAGAGCTGGGAATTGGTGACACCAGCCACGAGGAATATACTTCCCAACGATAAGGCTAATAATCCGATAAAGACACATGCTTTTTTAATTTAAAATACTCAAACAATTCGTTACTCACTAGACTCAGAGACAGTGAAAGAAATATAACATTGCTTGTAAACGTAGCATTATACTTCTTCAATAAGTAGGATATGCAATTGTTTATTTAACGAATGAACGTAACATGAGTTGTAGTGCAAGTCAACTATAAATTAACTAAGGTTTCATGTCTGTCTGGGAATTTAGTGGCATGGACTAGTGGGACGACACAAACAATGACACCACAACGTATGGAAGTTGTTTCTTGGTATGTTCGTAGGCGAAGAAAGCTATGTCTTCTCTTCAGGAAATGTTAACTTCTTCATCAATTGTCCCATATGTGTCTGGTGCCGTAATTTGTTAATTACTGCACTTTTGATTTTAATCCTTAGAGGTTTTTCTGCTGGGGTTGCGTGTTAACAAGGAAGAACCTACAAAAGAGAGCATTAGTGTTGCTCTTTGATTATTTTATAAAATTATTCATTTACTTGATTCCTCCATATACAAAGACAACCAGACAAAAAAGTTCCCTGTCTTTTAAATATCAGTATTTTGTAATTCGCAGTTTTCTTTATTAAATAAGAAACCGAACAAGAGAATTGTACATTGGTAATTTTTTAGTCTCATTTTCATATTCTCCGATCATAGTCATCATAATATGTTTCTTAATTATTTTAAAGCTGTCAAGTATGACTTCTGCGTTGTGTCTCACAGCACAGCATAGCAAAACTTTCATGCAGACACAGTACCAGTACACTGCATGCATAAGTAAAAATAAATAAAATTCAAGATTTATTAAAGTAATAATAAATAATAAAATTTCAATATTAGATCATATCTCAGATTTCACAGCATATAGTGAACATACATAGCATGAATTAAGGGACTGTGATGGTTGTTGATCTAACACCAACTGTGATATTGGAAGTGGGAAAAGCCGATACCTCTGAACACTAACGTTTTCACTCAGAAGGTATATCTTCTCCAATATGATGTGATTCAAAATCATGACGATTTTGATTACTTTTACATAAAAGATTGGTTAAGATCGTAAACTAACAAATTCTCCTGAAAAGGAGAGAGCTACAACTACATCAGCAAAATCTTATACATGTCAGAGCGATGAAAAAGTTGGGTTTATGCGTCTTTTTGAATGCAGAATATAAATATTTTGTGAGATTTGGGTGGAATGTCTCAGTTGCTGTTTGGGATTTCACTGTGTGTTGTCCAATATGCAATCTTAACATTTTCTGGTTTACCATGTAACTAAAAGTATTTTCTTGATAAATTTGTTTATTGATTGAGTTGTTTTTTAATATGCTGTGTTACTAATTTATTAATTTGTATACGACTGATAAAAGATCAAAGGCTTTTTATTCTAATTCGTGAGATTTATTAGAAGTTTTCAACCTAATCAAATCATTAAGGCGAAGTAATGAAAGCAAAATTACGTAGTTATGGCTATATGTTATTTGCTTCACTTAGTGTATACATGTTTGGAATTTTATTGAGTATGTGCGACTAAGGAATAAAGCTATTTGCGACACTTTGATGTTGGAAGACTCACATTCTTGAAATGACGTTGTTAAAATCAATGTAAAGAATGTGACAGTGACAGTAACGTATCATTAATTAAAAGCATTTTTTTATAAGTATTTTTGAACGGTTATATAGTTTGGTTTATAATTCAAATTTTAAAGTTCTTAAGAAATTATGACTGGTTATATTATTATTTCTTTAAAATGTTATTGGTTTGGGTGGCAGTTTAATTTGTTTGTAATATCCCTTTGATTTGAGAAATGTAAGAATTTGAAGTTATTCGGAGATACAGCGTGAGATATTTATGTGGCGTAGAAGCCAAAGGAACAGAAATTGTCCATAGCAAAGGTAAAAACCAGTTGTGTGGACAATAATAAATTAATCTACTACTACAATGTCAATCTCACTATGTTCCAACTGCTTACTTCAAACATTGGTGATACATTCGATTTGATGTTTTAAAGCTTAGTTTTGTCTTGACCCAGCTGTTTAATTACCCCCATTCCCCTATTTAACCAAATTAATCTGTTTTTAATTTTGCTCAAATTTCATCCCCATCTCCCTTCTATCTATCTCTTTATCTTTCTATCTATCTTAAATGTCAGTGACTGTACCATGGCTGCAGAGATTGGCCTAGTCTCCATGACCCAGATCCAAAAATTATCACAATCCCAACACCCCAAAAAACAACAACCTCAACCAAACCCTAACATCACAACCACCACCCCCTCCTCTTGGATGTGGAACCCTAGCCAGCAACTGCACCACCAAGAAGACGACGATGACTCATGGGAGGTCAGAGCTTTTGCAGAAGACACAAGGAACATCATGGGAACCACATGGCCTCCACGCTCCTACACCTGCACATACTGCAGAAGGGAGTTCCGCTCCGCCCAAGCTCTCGGCGGCCACATGAACGTCCACCGCCGCGACCGTGCACGCCTCAACCAACACCCTCCTTCCTCCACCGCCATCTCTTCTCTTCCCACTTCTTCACCCTACATCAACATCCCTCCTCAAGACCTTGTTGCAAATGCTGGGTTATGCCTCCTCTACCACTTGCCACCAAGCCCTAGTGCACCACCCTTCTCTAATTCCCCCTCTACCAATACTCTTTCTTCTTCTCCCTCTCCCTCCACTCTTCTCTCTATCTCCTCCTATCCTTCAACCAACTTTCTGATGCAAACTTCCTTTAATTTTCCCGGTGCACCCTCGACTGGGATCAACACTGCTACTGTTTCCTCTTTCTACTCCAGCAAAGTGGAACAATCGGCAACTTCTTCCTCTTTTGCTGCCGGCCACCTCGAAGAGCTTGATCTAGAGCTCCGCCTCGGCCACAAACCAACACAAACCTCATAAATCTTGCCCCCAGAAACTCAAAAATATAAATAGATATAAAGGTTAAACCACAACCACATATAGTGGTATTAGCAAACGAGAAGAGAAAGTAAAGTGACTAAAGTATTGTTATTTCGCTGATCTCCTTCTTGGCTGTGTGTCTGGAAGAGATCGACAGTGATGTTATTTGATGATGTTTGTGATATGATAGCATTACCGTGTCCAGATTTGGATAGGCCTGTGGGTTTTTGTTTTGGGTTCGATTTTGTTATTTTTGTTGGTTGATCGATTTCATCTGTGTGTGATTGTTTTTTGACTGAAGGTGCAGATGGAGGGAGGAGCAAGCTATGGGTGGGGATGGGAAAGAAGGAGAGAGGCACCACATGTAAATTTTTCAAAGAAAAAGAAAAAAAATGTAAGTTGGTATTAATTTTTGGAGAAATATTGGCAGTAATTATGGGAGGAGATTAGGGTTTCGGAGTAAGACACTGAAAAAGGTTGCAGTGAAGTGTCATTTTCTATTTTAGAGTTGTCTAAGTACATACATATATGTCTGTCTGGGCATACATTTCCGTGGGGATTATTTTCCATCCTTCACCTGTTAAGTCATTTTAGTATTATATAATATTTTCACTGTTCACACCTTTCTGTTTAGACAAAACTGCAAACTTCCCACTGTCATTTTGTTCAATATTTCTTTTGGTTCATTACTGATAAATTCATTTCACCAGCCTCTGTATCTATATATTTATTTGTACTAAGCTTTGTGTAAATATAAAGAAAAATTAAACCTCCAAATGTTTCTAATTCTAAGAGATGAAATACTACAAAACTTTTATGATTATGGAATATTGACACTAAGATTTAGGAATAGCTACTATGTTTGACTTGGATTATATATATAATGTGAATTATACATAACATATATATTACTAATTGAATTTTAAGTTTTTAATCAACTTTTTTAATTTTTTAATTGAATACTTTTTATTTAATTTTTTCGTATTGTATGACTTTTGTTATCATGACTTCTTATTACTTATTTGCCTTCAAGTGTTAAAACAATGAATTTGTAATTAGTATAAAACAAAACAAGATTTATTAATTTCATTTAAAGTGTGTTGAATAACGACAACAATATAGTAAGAAAACATGACAGTAATAAAACTAGTCTTCTTATCTTAATACGATATTATTTTATATTAATCACAAAATCTTAAATTTTTTAACAAATATATATAAATAAGCAAAACAAGATAATAGTCATAGGATCAAATTAATCAAAAAAATAACACAACAAAATCTCAAATAAAAAACATAAAAAGTTTGAGTACTTAAAACAAAAATAGAATCTAAATTATCATTATATATATATAAACTTATATCAAACTTAAAACTTAATTAAGTTTTTTCTATCCCTCTATTTCATCCACTCAGTAAGTCATTCCTTAACTGTTTTCCTATTGTATAAGAACATTGTTAATTTCAAATTATTTCTAAGAAATCTCTCAAGAAACCACTGATTAAGGCACACACTTTATTACTATTAACTATTAAATTTGAAATTATTTAAAAAGAGTTAATTAGCTGGTCTATTGTTTACCAGTTAATAAACTAGTAGTTAAGTAAAGTTTAAAATTTATTTCATTTTAAAATAAAGATAGGTCATCTTTTTTATTTGTGAAATATCTCAGTATACTATTCATATGAATTGTAAACTTTTTTTTTTCTAATCCTTCTACCTATTAAGTAAGAAAATATTAAATACTTGTAAGACACCATTTTCCTCTGTATTTAATTCTTTATAAATATCAAGGAAAAAGGATAGCATTATTTTGAATATATGTACCTTAAAATTTGTATCTTTTAAATATTTCTATTTTTTTAAAAATAATTACTTTTAATACTTTGATTATTGTATGATTTATATTTTTATATAAAAAAAGTTGTAAAAGGCATTATAATTATTTTATACAATAATAAACATCTTATAAGAGATAATTTATCGGCTATATTATTGATAGTATAATTTAATATTATTCCACCCCAATTCCATAGTAGTTATATATAACCATAGCAAAAATTACACTCAAGTTTGTACTAGTATTAATTATATTTCTTAATTTTTAAAGAAAATCCTAAATTTCATCTTATACTTTCCATGGTGTTTAATATAATAATCAAATTATTTTTATAATAGATATTAAAACAAAAAATATTGTTAAATTATTTTAATAAAAATATAATTGCAAAATTAATTTTTTTTTATAATTTTATTATAAATAATTTGTTTTGTAATTTTTATTATAAATAATCATTTAAATTAAAAAAAATACTAAAAGAATAAAACCGAAAACCGAAATATGCACATTAAAAAGAAACCGTACCTTTATTAATTGTATAAATAAATAGTTTTCTTAATCTCAAATTAATATTTTATATTTTTAGATTTGATTTTGGGATGAGTACTTTAAAAACCTTACTCCTGTTGATGAAAAATAGAATTCCACTATACATTAATTAATTTATTATATAAAAGGGTAATTTAAAACATTTTAATATATATCCTTTTAAAACGAGTGTCAATGTATGCATTAGGGAAGAGTAAATAGATTCAAGATTATTTTTTAAGAAATAATGTATACCATATGAATGTTAAAAGTAATTTAAAAAGATAAATTTAGTGCTACTCTTTAACATTATATGATTAATTATTTTAATATTTATTTCATAAAAAATTGGACAGGGCATTTATTATAAACAACTTTAACTGGTTATTTTACTTATATAAAGCCAATAAATAGTTATTCTTTACTATCCTTGTTTTTTTCAATTGTCATCATTGTCATTGAAAGGATCAACAGGATATGGTATCATTGAAACAATAAAAGCCAAACGGATTAAAATATAGTAAAATAATAAAGGAGAGATGAATAACATACTATATTTTTTCATAGGGTTTTTTTTTCTTTCTTTTTTACATTCATACATTTTGTTTGTTAAAGTCAGAAAACTGAAATAAATAAAAATGAGTAAGTAAAAAAATTATGAAATAAAATGAATTCAGTTTGAGAAAAACATAAAAAATATTAACATGAATGAAATTTATTATAATATTACATTTTAAAATAACTAAAACGATCTCTCTCTCTCTATATATATATAAATAAAATTTGTAATTTCTTGAAATGAAAATTATGAATATATATGAATTACAGGGGGGAAAAAGGTTAGGTGGGAAAATATTTATATGATCTACAATTATAATTAATAGTTCTTGGATTAAGTTATCTTTACATTGTTAGAGTTAGTTTCAAGTATCATCCACCAAATTTTTTTCTTTTGGCATAAATGGTGTAAGATTCAGATTATTTCATCATTTATTAATTATTTCCCACTGCAGATCATTTAAAAGACTTCTCCGTCGTAGCACTGCTCTATATATAAATAAAACAAATGAATTCATTTATAATTATTCACTTCAATATATATTATTTTAAAAGTTTTATCATAGATTAGAATCCAAAAGGATGAAATCCCAACTTGTTCTTGGAGTTAAAAAATCGAAAGAAGATATAAACATGTGTTCAAACTTGAAAGGGAGAAAAAGCTGCAGAATTGTAGTTTTTGTAGATTCTGCTCCGTCCGTTAAGACAACAGATGCTAACTTGCTTCTGATCCTAATTGTAATGTCTAAGCATCCTCTTTAACAGCAGCTACAAATGCTCTACTCCATAGATTTGCACCTATTTGGTAGCCTCTAAAATGCAAAATATCAGATTCACCAAAAATAAATTGCAAATAGTTATAATATATATAACTGTTATGCATTGAATTACTTTAAAAATGACATTTTACATGACTTTTTGTATTGATAACATTTTTTTTTCATTCACCTCAATCAACACAACACGAGCAGTGTACTGACCCATGGTTTTGACCAACCGATTTTCCGTGAATTACATAATGGTATATGTGTGAGTGAAGGAGGCTTGGGAAACTGCAGCTACTCAACCCTTTGCGAGAAGCTTCATTTTCATCGAAATGGTGTTTATCAGTTAGTTCCATGTTATAGAGTGTCATCACTGCGAAGCAACTCAGAAGAGAGATTAAAGTAATGTAACAGTAGTACAGCAGAACTGTAGTATTAGGCAAATGGGTGGCTGTTGGTCTGTTTCTAAAGCTTAATATTTGTCCAAAAAATTAGTACATAAAGAAAGTTCCTATTATTTATTTATTATTTAAATTTCATTAAGAGAAGTTAATTTCATATTTTATATTTAGGTATTATTGATTAACATTATGACCAACCTTGATTCCACTCCTGTACTTTTCACTGCTAGGGTGAAGTTTACAGAAGTTGAATGTAAATTCTGATAGCGTGTTAACAGTAGATTGCGCCTCATTCTCAGATAAATTGCCCATCCTCTTTGTTAGTTGTCCCCCGGTAAAAAGACAACAACAGATGCTTTAGAGACATAATTTTAAGGAGAGAATCATGTATAACTCAGCATAAAAGACATTTACATCTCAGAATCAGGATAAAAAGACAAACTTTACAAAATTGGTAGGCTTCCACACCGAAATCCATTGGAGAGGAGTAGTTTTTTTTGGAAATAGTAATGTGAAATGTTACAAATATAAATTTTTAAAAATTGGGTAATATGTTTAGTTCAATAAATAAAGAGTAGCATATGTTATGAGTTCATGTTATTAGTTGACAGAAGTATGGTTTCTCCCTCTTTTGTATTTATTTCTCAATAGGGATGTGGACAACCCAATGCATGTCCACCAAACATTTTCCTAAAACAAACTTAAAATGGGGACAATAAATGGGAGTCAGTGGGCTACAACTATGCAGGGGACCCCGTGGTACATGTGCATGTGTTCTTGCTAGTTATTAAGCAGCAGCATTGGCGTGCAATCTTTGTTGAGGAAGGCTTGAGCAGAAATCGTACATTTATATAGCTTTCTAGTTTTGTTGCATACTTCAATATGAATGTCTTCTCCCTGCATGTGGTCCTAACTCCAACCCAGATATCCAAAACTCGAATCACTTTTAAGTGAGTAATCATATGACCTTTGTTTGGTTGATGTTGTCGTTTTATTACAATTATAAGACAAACACATGGCCCAGAACGACACTCCGACCTCAATTCTTCCGCAAATCAGCACTAATTTCAGCTCATAACATATCAGATACTCCACTCTCTGTGTGTGCGTATATACATAAGTTAGAGTTTTAATACATATTAGAAAACATTATATTCATAAAGGACATGATTTCTTAATCAGTTTGAAGCCTCCAACTTTCGATAGATTAGACTTTAGAGTATCACATTAGGTTTGTAGGATCAGGTGCTGCTGTCGAATATAGATGGGTTGCGTGTGATTTTGACCTTGACATTCACATTTATGTCTTGACTTCTTGAGTTAATGATTATTTCCAAACGGGTATAATTAAATACTCCCTTTGATGTGATTTTATTTATTGGAGATACACGTCATATAGAAATAAATCGATTTTTATATAAGTAAATGTACCATTCAAACGAAATTAAGTTACACTTAACTGTATTTTCATCTATTAGTAACTGGTAAAAGATGAAAAAACTACATTATAAAATTATAATTTTTTGTATATTAATTTGATGCTTCAACATT